GATTTGAGGTTTCAAATAAGTTCGTATGATGTTTTAGGACTTGTTTGTGTATTTGGTTGAGGTCCCGAGGACCTCGGGTGAGTTTCAGATGATTAACGGATCAAAAGTTGGACTTAAAAAGGTGCTGCAATTTTTTTCTGTTGTAAATGCAGAAATCGAAGCCCAGAAATCGACGGCCAGGGTCGAAGCCAGGGACGAGGGCCATGATCAAAGGCAGGATCGAAGCCATGATCGAAGGCCCAGCTCGAGGGCCATGATCGAAGGCAAGGCTCGAGGGCCAGGGATCGAGGCCCAGGATCGAGGGTTATGACCGAGGCCAGGATCGAGGCCCAGGATCGAGGGCTATGACCGAGGCCAGGATCGAGGGCCATAAAGATCGAAGCCATGATCGATACCGAGGATCGATGGCTGCCTCGGCAGTTTATAAAACTGGGGATTTCGTCCCATTTGTCATTTTTGATGAACTTGAGCTTGAGCAGAAGCGATTTTTGGCAGATTTTCAAGGAAAAATATTTGGGTAAGTGATTCTAACTCGGATTTGGTCAATATACACGAATATATTATTATTTTCACCATTTAATTGGTGTATTGAGATGGAAATTTGGAAATTTTTTAGAAATCTCATAAAAATAAATTTTTTGAGATTTCGGTGTCGATTCGGAGTCGGATTTGAGTGAAACTGGTATGGTTGGACTCGTAATTGAATGGGTTGTCAGATTTTGTAAGTTTCGCCGGATTCTGAGACCAATTTTTGAACTAATTTCGGATTTTATTGAAAAATATAGTATTTTCTTATGGAATTGATTCTATAAATTTTGTTGACTGTATCGAATTAATTATGACTAGATACGAGTTGATCGGAGTCGGAAAATTGAGGAAAATGCATACTACTTGGTTAAATTGGAGCTAGTCGAGGTAAGTGACTTGTCTAACCTTGTGTGGGAATTTTTTTTCCTAGGATTGGTATTAATGTGAAAAATTAAAATATGTTGAAAGTCGTGTACACGAGGTGACGAGTGTGTACACGGGTTAAATGTGAAAGATTATATCTTTAAATTGTGTAGATCGCTGTTGCATATTAATTAAAAAAAATTGCCTTGTTATATTCCTCATCATTGATTTAAATGTTTGTATTTTAAATTTGCTTGACCTTTTCCTGCTAATTGTTTTACCTGTTTAGTTGAAACTTATTTTTTTTTATTCTGTGCATTATTGGAAGGTTGATTTTCTTTAAATTAAATATTATTAATATGAATTATTTGACATTTTAAATTTGGTATTGAAGCAACATATTAAAATTTTAAAATATTATTTTGTTGAGTTATTTATTCCCGAATATTTTTGTGAGATTTTCATACTCATTGTGATGGAGCCGTGAGCTCTTATTTATGAAAAAATATTGTTGTTGATTTATTTTAGTAAATTAAAATATTTGGGCACTTGAGGTACAAATTATGATATATTGTGATATTGATACGCATGCGGTGGTATAAGGTTTGGGTGTTGAAACGCATGCGGTGAGATAAGGGTGGCTTGATACGCGTGGCTAATAAGGGGAAACTACTAGAAGTCATGCGGTGTGATAAGGATGGCTAAAACGCGGGATGCTATTTCGGAAAAAATATTTTCTTTAAAATAAATTGTGAAGGCTCCCACAGTGAGATAAGGAAATGAGATATTGTGAATTTATTTATGATTTGGGACTACGAGGTGGTACCTCGGGAGTGCCTTTGTTGATATTGATTTATGACCGCAGTTGCCTTTGATTATTGTTGTGATTTTCTTGAAGTTGAAAAGAATTCTGTTTTGTTTCTACGAGGTATTAATTGCCATTATTTGGTGTAATTAAAAAGTGACATATTACTTGATTCATTTCCGTTATTATTTTATCTTATTATATTATTAAATATTTTACCATGCCATTATTTATTTTTTAGTAGGGCCTGACCTGACCTCGTCACTACTTTACCGAGGTTAGGCTTGGCACTTACTGGGTACCGCTGTGGTGTACTCATACTACGCTTCTGCACATCTTTTTGTGCAGATCCAGGTATATCTCATCAGACCAGGCATCAGTAAACTAGTTGTACGAGGAGACTTCGAGGTATATCTGCCAGCGTCCGCAGACTCCAGAGTCCCCTTCAATCTTACTATGTTGTCTTCCTTATTTGCTTTAGACTCTGATGTATAGGGACATAGAGAATAAATTCTTAGAAGCTTGTGACTTATTTCTACCGGGTTTTGGGAGTTATAATTATTTGATTTGTAATTTATTTATTTAAGATATCTTATTATTCCACATTGATAGGCTTACCTAGTCTTAGAGACTAAGTGCCATCACGACCTCCCGCGGAGGGAATTTGGGGCCGTGCCAATTTTTTCTAGAGACTTTCTTCCTAAATTCTTTGGTAAACAACTTTAATCTATTTCTTTTCGATTACCCATTACATTTCATAAGTTTTCAACATCAAATCTAGGATTTTTATGGTAGAAATTAGGGATTTGGGTAGAATTAGAGATTTTTATAAATTTGAAATTTAGACCTCGAATTGAAGTCGGATTTCAAAACAAATTACATAGTTGGGCTCGAGGTGAATGGGTAATCGGGTTTTGGTCCGAATCTCGGGTTTTGACCAAGCGAGCTCGGGGTTGACTTTTTGAAAAAATGTAAAGACCTTAACTTTATGTATTGTAATTGATTTCCCTAGCATTACTTGATTTTATAGAGTCGATTTGTTAGATTTGGCTGGTTTGGAGGCTTGTTCGAAAGGCAAGGCCGTGGTTGAACTTTGAGTTGGTTTCAGAGTGAGGTAAGTGTTGGGTCTAACCTTGATTTGAGGGAATTAGGAATCCTTGAGCTATGTGCTATGTGAAATTCATGTGTAGCGGCGTATATGCGAGGTGACGAGTGTATATACGCCGTCAAAATACTTGTTTCTATACTTTTCCGTAATTCATTAATTTTTTTTTCATGACTTGACTGTTACATGCCTTAACTTGCTATTTGTCATTTGTTATTCTCGCATTGTAAATGTTAATTTCTTCCATGCTTCTATGTTTAATTGATATTTTCCTTGATTGTCTTATTTGTACTCTTTAACTGTTATATATTCGATTTGACTTATTGCTTAGTATTAATTGTAGCCCTTTCATGATTTGGTACGAGATTCCTTCTTGATTTGTAGCTTTCATATTCGTTAATCGTAGAAATTTTGTGATTCGAGTTGTTAAATTGATTGCACTTATTGATTTATTTATGGATCAGGTTGCGCGCCGCAATTGATACGGTGGGATCGGGTTGCGCGCCGCAACATGTGATATAAGGGTGGATTGATATGGTGAAATAGGGGGAGAATTTTGATATTGATATTGATTATACGGTGGGATCGGGTTGCACGTTGCAACAGGTGAAATAAAGGTGGATTGATATAGTATAATAAGGGAGAATTATGATATTGATATTGATTATATGGTGGGATCGGGTTGCGTACCGCAATATATATATTTACTTATTATTTTTGATATTTACATGGTGGAATAAGGGAGAATCGTGTTGCACGGTGGGATCGGGTTGCGCGCCGCAACGGTTTATGTGTTTTGCATTCCTTATTGTATTGTGTTGGCTTCGGTGCTTTCGTACGAGACTCTGAGGATTGATATTTTTGTATTTACTGGTTTTCGAGGATTGTATAATGGTACCACCGTGCTCTACCTCTACTCATCCGGCATACTCTTCGTCCTGAAAATAATATTAAACAACCCAGTCAGCCACTTCAAGCTTGCTCCGCCCACACACCTCCAAAATTCAACCGAAATTTTGTCTGTCCCGGTTGCTCTACCCCTACTCATCTTACGCATAGCCCCCATGACCTCCTCAACCTTAATGCGCCTACAACACCTAAAGTTTCAGAGACTCTCGGAGTGCCTCAATTCACCTAGCACAATGTCTTGATCTCCCTCTTCGTTCAAAAGTCTATGAATGTAAGTCTACCATCTCCGCTTAATTTGAGCCTCTCCCATCAATACTCTACCATCCTCGTCTTTGATGAACCTCACTTGGTCCAGATCCCGAGCCTTCTTCTCTCTCGCCTTGGCTAGTCGAAATAACTTCTTCTCCCCGCCTCTGTCCCCCAATTCCTTGTACAGAAGACCAAACATCGCAGTCTTAGACTCTGTAATTGCCAACTTTGCCTCCTTCCTAGCTACCTTATGCCTCTCTCTATTTGATCTTCTCTCCTCCTCACCTGTTATCCCTACTAACTTCATGTACGCTGCCTTCTTCGTTTCCACTTTACCTTGAATCACTTCATTCCACCACCAGTCACCTTTGTGTCCGTCGGAGTAACCCTTCAATACCCCTAGCATCTCTCTCGCTGCCTCTCTAATAAAGTTTGCCGTCATCGTCCACATAGTGCTCGTGTACCCACTATCCTACAGGCACCCATATACGATAACATCCCCTCTAACTCCTGGTCTTTATCCTTAGTCAAGGCTCCCCACTTGATCCTCGATCATCCTCATACCTTATACCTTTCTCTGTTCACTCTCCTCTCCTCCTCATATGTGCTCCCTACTAACTTCAGGTACGCCGCCTTCTTCGCTTTTACTTTATCTTGAATCACTTCATTCCACCACCAGTCACCTTTGTGTTTGCTGGAGTAACCCTTCAATACACCTAGTACTCGCATCCCCACTACTCTAATACAGTTTGCCGCCATCGTCCACATAGCACTCGCGTCCCCACTACTCCTCCAGGATCCCATATCCGATAACCTCCCCTCCAACTCCTGGGCTTTATCCTTAGTCAAGGCTCCCTACCTGATCTCCGGTCGTCCTCGTACAAACCTCTTCTTCCTCTTTACCCTGACACTGACATCCATCACCAAGAGTATATGCTGCGTCGCGAGTGTCTCAACCGAAATAACCTTACAATCCTTGCATAACCCTCTGTCACACCTCCTGAGGAGAAGATAGTCAATCCGAGTCTTCGCCACCGCACTTTAGAAAGTAACCAAATGCTCCTCCCTCTTTGGAAAACTAGAGTTCGCAATCACCATCTCAAAAGCCTTAGCAAAATCCAACAGCAAAGTACCTCCTACGTTCCTATCCCCATAACCGAAATCGCCATGCACCTCGCCATAGCCACCAGCAGTCGACCCGATATGACCATTGAAATCTCCTCTTATAAGTAGCCTCTCAACAAGCGGAATACTACGCACAATTTCATCCAACTCCTCCTAGAAGCACCTTTAATCGCCTCATCTAAGATCACTTGCGGCGCATAAGCGCTAACGACATTTATGGTGCACTCTCCAACCACTAACTTAATAGTCATTATTCTATCATTCACCCGCCTAACCTCTACCACAGACTATCTAAGATCCCTATCCACCAAAATCCCCACTTCATTCTTACCCTTGTTGACTCTAGAGTACCACAACTTATACGCGTCCGTGTCCCTCGCCTTCGATCCTACCTTCCTAGTCTCCTGGACACATGCTATATTGACCTTCCTCTTCTGGAGAATCTTCGCCAACTCTATAGACTTACCAGTCAATGTTCCTATGTTCCATGACTCAATTCTCAACCTATAGGCCCCCTTGATCCCTTTACCTCCATTGCCTCCCGTCCCACCCCTGACCCCTGC